CCGTTTCAAGCAAAAGAACCCACACCGAAGCCATCATTTGCCAATGTTGTTGTCAATAACGCACAATCGGCCAAACGCAAACGATATGATGATGCTCCACGAATGAAATTTAATGAAAACAAACCGACTACAAAAATTGGCACAAAACAATCGATTGGTCTATAAGTGGTGGCCAAACCGAAACGTCCTGAGAAACGGATTTTTGCTAAAGCAGTTTGGGTCTCTCGGCTCAATCCAGATACAACAACCGAAGAAATTTCCGACTACATTGTCAACAATACATCGATCAGCGATAAGTCAAAGTTTAATGTGCACAAATTAGTGAAAAAAGACCGTGAGTTGAGCACACTGAAATTCGTGTCGTTCAAAATTGAATCAAGTGAAGAAGACTTTGAATCATTGATTGATGCTGATATGTGGCCAGAGCAAGTAATGGTGCGCGAGTTTTTGAAAAACAAAACGCTTGGTGATTTCTTCCCGAAATTGAATGAATCCCCGAGATTTAATGAAAAAAAACGGTCACTTTCAGTGGAATTGATGGAAACCGAGAAAGATGCGCAAGTTTAAGTGAAGTTTCAATTCTAAATGATTTATATATGTTCATTCAAAACGCTCATTCCATTCGTGATAAAGTAGATGCGGTACGTTTAGCGACAGAATCGTGCCCATTCCACATAATAGCATTTTTCGAAACTTGGCTCACAGAGAGCATTAAAGATATAGAACATTTAAGTAGAAAGTACAATGTGTATCGCGGTGATCGTACAGTTTTGACCAGTGAAAGAAGTTGGTGATTTTAACTTGACAAACGTTGAGTGGATAAATGACGATGTGGAAAGCAATGTGCTTGTTCCCTCAAACTTCCACTCCCAATGTGCTGCTGATTTCATTACCGGCCAGATGGGCCTGGGCCTCCAGCAAATAAACTCAGTAAGAAATCGTAACCTCAAATTGCTGGACCTATTTTTTACAAACGACCATGCCAACACAACAGTGTGCGATGCTACTAAACTGTCACTGACGGATAAAATCGATCGTCACCACCCTCCTTTGTTGATTGAATTTGAATGGCATCCGATTAACAATGGTTCCGAAAACCAGAATAACACGCATTTCAACTTCAAACGGGCTGATTATCAGCGCATGAATGAATATTTTGCTGCCGTCAACTTTGATGACTTATTCGCAAACAAATCACTTGCGGAGAAGGTGTCATCCCTTCATGACGTGTTAGCGGAAGCCATCCAGTGTACGGTTCCAACGTATGTCCGTAAGAACAACCAAAAATGCCCATGGAAAAACAAAGAACTTCGACATCTCAAGAATTTAAGGAAAAAAGCCTGGGATTACTGGAAGCTGACCAATGACAAGTAGCCATTTGAAGAATTTCACGAGGAATTCAGTGCAAAAAATACCGAGCTTTACAATCAGTATGTCGACAAAATGAAATCAAACTTGAAAAGTGATCCATCTTCGTTTTGGCAATATGTTAACTCCAAAAAGAGCACTGATAACATACCAAAAACCATGCGATTCGGCGACACCAAGACATCCAGCGAACCAGAGCAAGCAAATCTATTTGCTGACTTCTTCGGGAGCAATTACTCCTCATCTACGACACCAATTAATCAACCGTCACCTCAGTCTGAGAACACCTCTTGTTTCCAGCTTGACCTTGACTTTGTCATGACTGAAATGACGAAGGTCAATACCAAGACAGGTGCTGGACCTGACGGTATTCATCCTTTGATTTTGAAGGAGTGTGCTCCAACGCTTGCTAGTCCGTTGACTAAGATTTTCAATGAGTCGCTTTCATCTGGCATTTTTCCCGACGAATGGAAACGATCGAGTGTATCAACCAAATTCAAAAAGGACGCCAGATCGGACATTGAAAACTACAGGTGCATAGCAAAACTACCAACGATCGCCAAATTCTTCGAGCACCTCGTCAACGTGAATTTGCTTGAAATCTTCGTGATCGCGTCACGCCAAACCAACATGGATTTATCGTACTGCGATAAAAGCCTATATAAAGAATGTTATTATATTTGACAATATTTGACTCGATGTCAATGACGATGTGGCAGCGCCACCTATAGAGATTCCTTATTAAAATAAGTGGAACTATTGAGTACGTGCACCATATCGCACGTAAATTTTTAATATGGCAGCGCCCATAGAATTGAAAAGTTAACCGATTTCGTAGTCACAAATTATCGCTGTACGGGATTTATGAAATGACGATCTACAGCATCAAACCTAACTGAGTTTGTGTATTACGCCCAGAGTGGCTTGAACATTGGAGCTCAAGTTGATGTCCTGTATACGGACTTTACTAAAGCCTTCGATCGAGTTGATCACAACATTTTGTTTGAAAAATTGAAGTCATTCAACCTACATCAGAACTTGCTGGCATGGCTTAAGTCGTACCTGGAAAACCGTGTTAAATTTGTCAAGCACGGAGCAAGTGATTCAGTCGATTTTACAGCGTCGTCGGGTGTCCCACAGAGTAGCCACCTTGGCCCACACTATTCCTGCTATTCATCAACGACATCGTGGATCAAATGCCCCCAGACATTATGATATTGCTGTTTGCCGACGATATTAAAATTGCCAAAATCATCAAATCTCAGCAAGTGTCGGAGATTCTGCAGCAAGCCATCGACAATATTAAACATTGGTGTGATACAAATCTGCTGCACCTTAACCTCAAAAAATGTGCAGTGCTATCTATCTACAAGAAACGTCAGCATTTGGATACACCTATGGCGACCACACCTTCGACAAAGTGACTGAACACAAAGACTTGGGTGTTCTAATTGACAGAAAGCTATCTTTTGCCAAACACATCGACATGGTCACTTCGAAGGCAACGGCTGCACTTGGCTTTGTCAAACGCTTCTGCCATGATATCACCCACGTTACCACACTAAAGTCGCTATATTTTGCTTTGGTTCAATCTCACCTCGATTACTGCGCCATAGTATGGCTTCCATTCCGCAAAATTCACAGCGACAAAATTGAATCCATGCAACGCCAATTCACTATGTACGCTCGACGAGAATACCCAACCGTACATAACCAATACTCAATCACACCGTACGAGCAGCGATTGTCAGACTTGAACATGATTAGTCTTCGTCGTCGACGTGTCAATGCGTCATTGACTTTTTTCTACGACATTACCAACGGCAACGCTAACTGTCCAACGGTTGGTGACCAAGTCTCATTTAATCAAGGGCGTTCATTGAGACACAGCGAACAATTTAAGGTCAATGACAAACACATGAAGCTAGTGCGCGAAGCTCCAATTCCCCAAATGTGCAAAATGGCGAACATGGTGCCGGAACTGTTCACAGCAACCACCTCGAAGGCGAATTTTGCATCATCGGTTCGCAGAATGACGGACACCACTTTTGGTTCGTTATGCAAACTCAAATGATTACCTGGCCACTCAAGCAACTTCTCATTCAGGTAACCTCATTTTTTGTATATGTTCTCTACGAGAACACCTTGATACTACACACACTGATAATGGAATTACGAATTACGAACTTTCATGTTACCACAAAACCGAACTGTGATCTCGACCTGGATGAGCCCACCAAAGACAACGCAGCATATTGCCCTTGTACTTTTCTTGACTAGGATACAGCTGATTAAGAAACAAATGTGAACGTGGAAGGATCACAAACTAAACCACCCGTTCGAAACTCAGCTCAACGTGTTATTCGTTAACATAAATTTTCATTTAAAAAGACTGAAGAATTGTTTACATACATTCCTCATATATGTATAGAAATGATGATACTTTTCTGTGATCTTTACACCTATATATTTTAAATTGATATTGTTCATTGTTACAGCCATCCGTTGAGTTGGCGGGTTATTTTCCCAAATTCTATTCAATTTTTAATTAACTGCTTTAAAGCATCGAATGCTCCGTTATGTTTCAAATCATGGTTCAATGATAAACTCAAGCCACTCTATAATCAACATGGATCTGCCCAATCGACGTAAAACTCTCGTCAATTTATCAACTGTATAAATTGAGTGACGACTTTTTCAGTCCAAAGTCTCTAATCAAACACTTTTGAACTTCGTACCCATAGATAATACAGCGTCAAAGCGTCACTCAAAATAATATCAGTCATTTTGAAGGGTAAATCCACGCATAGGAGCGTCACTCCATTTTAGCCTCGTCTAGAGGTTTTTCATCTGATAAGTAATTTTCTTTAAAACTTAGTTGGTACATACCTGATGAAAGACCAATGAACTATGCTAAAATGCTGAAAATAAATCATTCAGGGCTTAAGAATCGCACACTCAGTTCACAGTACAACTCATTTCAGTGGAAGCTACAGCGCTCATGTGCGATGCTGTTCTCACAAAACCGAGTTGTGTGCGCACACCGCGCACTTACTTCTCCTCTGCTTTGTGCGGATCTTCGTCGATCGAAGAAAAAAAAGAAGAAGTAGTAGTAATAGTATGTTCAACATAGCCGAAATACAGGCACAAACATGTTTTTTTACTCTGCGTGTCTGCTGTAAGTATTTGAGCACACATTGAACGGACAGTGGTAAACTCATTTGTATTTGAGAACTTGTGAACTGTTCGTCGTCCGTTCGTGTGCGCTACACGCACACGATATTGTGATGCATTGCACTACTCACAGGGTTCACTCTGTGCGATTCTTAAGCCCTGAGATCATTTATTCAAATCAGTCTTGCACTGACCACCGAACCAACTGGTCTGCCTTTTATTTGTTTTACAAAACGTTTCGTGTGGTTCGATACACCATATATAAGAAACCCAATGATGCTATTAGTAGCGACTTTCTCTATTGCGCTGATTCTGGTTTGGGACATGTGCAGTCTTCAAGATGACTATAAAGTACACCAACGATTTGGATATTGTCCTGCTAAACGTTCACAAATCGACAAATCATGTAAACTACAAAGAAAAAATTTATTTGATGACAATCTGAATCAATGAAACAATTTTTTACTTGGAACTTTTTTCTAATCATATTTATTTTATGCCACGTCATTGATAGGTTTTCGCTTAATTGTTTAGTACGGTTTGAACAAGGTATATCGATAAAATTTATCTTTTTTTCTAAGATTGCCTTAAGTTAATAATAAAAAGACTTAGGATGAGACCACGTTCACATCTAGCATTGAACATAGGTCTCAAAGAACGAATTGCAAGCTATTTATTTCATTTGATTTAACACGTATTCCTTCAGACCTGGTTCAAATGTATTTTTTCAATGCAAACCGAAAAATGGTTGAAGAAAATTTACGATATCATTCTCCTGAATGTCAGAGCAAACAAATATTCGACGTTAGGTGTGAACTTATGCCTAGTCATATGACTACTACAGGGGATGAAGTTACTTTATTTTACTTCATTGTTTCATTCTAGATTAATATAACCGTGAGATTAAAACTTTTCATGCAATATATTTTTTCAGTGAATTGATCATCTTATATTATTTTTATATTATTATTTGAGTGGAAAAGCAACATCAAACAGAAATTCAATTCCAACCCTAACTTATTTAATTGACATATTCTATTAGGACAATTAATACGAGTAGTACAAATGCGTAAAAGAAATGTTTGCATCTCGTTATTTGAGACAGAAAACAAATATTGTTTGGAATCGAGAAATAATTTAATTTTGAGGACTGCTCAATGAAGAGGTTCTTATTCCAATATTTTTTCTGAAAAAATCTAATAAGAAAGTATGTTTGGCAGTGCGGGATATAACCCTTGCATAATCAAATACTTGAATTTTGTTGCCAAAACTATTCGACAAATCAATCCCTAACTGTAAAAGATTAAAATCTCATCCATGAATTATTTCGAACTTATTACTTATTTTCTACTTTTACAGATAATTTAAACGAGAGCGATGAATGTCTTAATACTTATTATTGATAACTATAGTTAATTGTGTGATAGCGATGACTTTGGATGCCTATGTGATGGAATGCCATCTCCACCACAAGAACACGAACCCTACATATCTGAAATAATATACAAATATATATTGAAGTTTAAGTGATTAAAATATTCAAAGAATGGTCGATCGAAAGCATAGGAACTAAGTGTCAATGAAAGAATTCTTTGTGTGTATACAAATAATATGAAATGAAATATTGCGATAATTTTATTATGATGCAGCTTCAGTAAGGCTAATATTTATGAGTAACTATACCTGTATGATCCGTGCGGTGTCCCAGATTCGCGTTCATTCCTCTCATGTTTATACCGGTTGAATTTAAAGTGCGGAATGAGTGTGTGTTGTCATTATATTGCCGTCTCGATGTTTGATTTGATGTTCCTCTAGATGATTTATGTGATACTCCCAAACTTGATGCCTGTCGGTATGGCTTGCAATGGTCACCGTAGCTTTCACTGGAATCACAGTATTGACCTGTGTAGTATTTTTTGAGATCTCGTGCGGAATGATCATAGCCAAATGTGCTGTATGTAGTCTGTTGCTTTTTATCTGATGCGATTTTTGAAGACTTTTGTAACTGAGGAAACGTTTTTGTCCCTGGTTGCATATGCGGTTGCTTTGAAATACTTTGTTTTGAACCCACTTTATTTCGATTTTTCGGCGGGAGCATCGGTGGTTGATCATGTAACGGAGCCGAGGATTTGACCACTATACGACCGTGATTATCATTAAAATGTTTTGAAGATGCACTAACATCGATATTTTCAGGCATTGCCTTCATTGAACGATACTTGGTCAAATTAGAGGCTGAAAGTGGTTGTTGATTTCGTTGATTTTGCATTGTTTTTGGTGGTATTTCTGGTAGTGGTTGGGTGATGATGGATATTTTTTCAGGTCCAGATGCAGCCCTCGAATTCAGCTGTTTAACAGGAAGTACAGGCTGAGCCTGGAAATTTTTCGTTGATAGGGAGGAAATGGTAGTTTGTTGTGGTCTTGTTATCTGTGCTGGTTTTATAGATGCCGGGTAAGGAGGTGGTTCGATGCTGTAAATGGGTCCATGGTGTGTGTGGGCGATGTTTCCTTGTTCATCGTTTTTAGGTTGCTTGAAAGCAGATCGTTTGTAGGAAATATTCGTTCCACCATCCGTTTCATAGCCTGAAACAAATCCACTTCCCCCTACGGTAAGTGAGTTGTTCGATCCATTGTATATAGTTTTAATATTATTGTTATTGGTCGCACTCGTGGAATTCATGTTAGATACATTGCACTCTTTTGATACTGTAGTTACACTTGGAGGTGAAGCCTTTTTCAGAACCGGGTTCATTCCTCGCTCAGTTAGGCTCCCACCATATCGACCACCATGTCTTAAAGTAGCACATTTGTTCAAATTAGTCGATGCAAATGAAGCTTCTCGCAACGCTTTCGGTCCTATGCTGATATATTTGGGATCAAATCGATTAAAACCACTGAGAGGAATTTCGCGGGAATCTGTTTCACATCGATCGATTGAATTATTTGAATTATTTGCTTTTAATTTTGGTAATGTACCACATTTTCTTAACGATTTATTCGATGAACTGCCTGCAAAACTGCAGGCAGTTGATTCTCAGTAGAAATCATTGGACTCGAGTGTTTTACATTGTTTGCTCAATGTAGCATATTTTCCACTATTTGGGCCAGCAGCATAATTACCGTTGAAATGTGAAGGCAATCGGCCGAGCGTTTGATGTCCATTGGACAGTCTAAATTTCATGGATGAATTGAAGCAATTATTAAATTGTATTTCTCAAATTATTTTAAACACTTAGTAAAATAACTTCTACACTCAAAGCCAATTCGTAGTAAAACGTGATGCGAAATTACTACCAATTCGTAAAAATAATATCGTAGAATGTACGATGGTTTTTACGCTAAAGCTTAGTAAATAGTACGAATATTCGTTTTGAGTGTATAGCTATGATATAAGCATGTTCTTCTTTTATTCCAAATTCCAGTGCAATTTTTTTTATTAAAATATTATAGTTTTCCTACACTTTTGGAATAAGGAGCAAAAAAGACATAAAGCAATCTATCAAAGCAATAATTAGACCGGTGCACAGTCAAAAATTTCAAATGGAGGGTAAAATTTTCCAAAAACGACACGTATTCGAGTCGTATATTGAAAGTCCGAAACTTATCCTAGGGTAAAGTCCGATTCCCCATACACATACGCAAAAATTTTCGGGGTGGGGACTACTCCGCCACTCCTGTGCACCGGCTTGGTAATAGTTACTATCACCACCGATTATTTTGGTTAATTTTGGAATGAATAGATATCATCCGCTGAAAATATTCCTTGGACCTTATTGACTGGCACAACAAAGCTGAATTTGAAACATTCGTTCGCAAAAGCAGTACATATACATATATCTGATGTTAAGAATAATTATTTAATTAGCCAAAATGTGTTTCTGATAAGACATAGGAGGCATGTGTCTGAAGCAAAGTTGAAGATCTTGAAAATGATTCACGTATAAACGGGTTGGCTAATCTCATTTTTATTCTCCACAACATATAAATACCTGCTACTTATAAGAGTAATTAATTGGTTGTTGTAATCACAGCTTAAAGAACTAACGTGCGCGAATATCAAGTTACATATTTTAATATACCGCTTCTGTGAAAAACTGTTTCAAACCACATATTTTGATACAACGAAATGAGGTCTAACGATTATTCTTACGGGTTCATAAGAAGGAAGGACTGATTTTTAAGGCTAACTATAATGTCAGCAAAAAGGTGAAAAAAATAGCAACAAAAATGTAAAATAACTATGATACTGAAGGTGGATAATAACATAACGGCTGCTCAATCCAATGAAAGATGCTTGAAAGTGCGTTAGCTAATGACAAGAACGGTCGCTGCGTTCACTTCTTCATATTCGTAAACATTGTTTACAATAGATTCGAGAAGAGTGTGAAGTGACATACTCAAATGATATCGTTTTTTCAACTCGAATTTTGAAAGAATGAGCCTAAAATTTTGGGAAATTACCCCTATCCCACTCTGGAGGTCAAACTATGAAACTAAAAGAAAAATGAAATTAAATGAAAAAAATATAATAACAAAAGATCATGCCTTCTGGTGTCATGCACCACAATATTATAATCTGGTGGTGGTGGTTCATTATTATAATTAATTGCCAACCCTCTCATCGTCCCAGTTGTGGACTTCCGTGATGTGTTGTTGACTCCATTTGTGCTATGGATTTGCTGATGGTGTAGAAGAGTTCTGTTAACAATTGAGCTTCCACTTTGGCTAGGGGCTGGGGGTGATGCAGTCACCACTGGATTCAAGAATGGTATACTTTCAGCCTTATCTGAAGAGAATTTTCGTCTAAAAACGATATTATTGAAATTATTTAATCATTAGTTGGTGTTATAATTCACTTCAAGGATATTTTTTGTCTATTGCAACCAGCCACTTACTTTTGTCTCAAATAAATCCACGTATGATTGTTAACGAATATCTAGTTAAATCACGGAGAACAAATATTACATGATGATAATGAAAATATTTCAGATTAATCTCAAGCTAAGGATTGAGTTATTGAAATGTAAATATCCCATTTGGGTTATATTCATACCAATAATGTAAGCAAAAACGCCATCGCTAATCCAGCTACCGTCATCAGAGTTAGTCCAAGTAAAGCACCCTCACATAAACCTTTTACGGCTTGATCGTAATGTTGATGAACAGAACTCTGGTCCAACATTTGTAATAGTTCATGAAGTACATAGCGACTTTCTTTGAGTTCATTTTCTATTTGATCAGTAGTTGTAGATATTTCAGCGCGTGGATACAAATCTTTCGATATTCTGCAGTAAAATAATAATTTGAATGAAAAATACATTTATTTCGATTACATCTATTACACAGCGCGTGTTGCGTTTCTAATGGCGCGACGATTCATGTTACGTTTTTAAGAAGAAAAAAATCATGTTTCGCTTCAGTTCAAACACTTCTGTATTGTCATTTTTATTCTCAATAACACAATTGGACGTACCGTATCACATCCTTAAATGCAGTGCTGGCATGCTCAATGTTTTCCCTTGATTCATTCAAACGCATACGGAACCTTTCACGTAAGCTTCCACAATTCAAATAGTAAACGTCATTTGGATAATCCTATGGAAAAATAATTCATTATAATTACAAGTGTGAAAGTTTTTTTAAGAAGTACTCTGTTTTTGTAAAATGTGTTGCTTTAAAAACATGAACATCAAATATGAACATGAATTGTACACTTCAAAAATATGAACGCTTCAAAAAATTTACCTATTGAAGCTTTTCATTGTATTTTTTTTTTACTTTGGGGATTCAACTACTTTTACTTTATATCCTCAAAGTACAAATTTCCCTAATACGGAAAATTTTCGTTATTAGGACATTTCACTGTATCAAGTAGTGACAGATAATTAAGTAAAAGTACTTCTTTAATATTTGCATAGGATATCTAGCGACAGTATTTAATTTGGAATATACATACACTTGCAAATTTATTGCATAGGTGTGTTGTTGGTTGCATGCAAAAGTCACCCAAAGCAACAGAACTGGCCAAATAGATCCCGGATAAAAGCCAACATATAATGATTCCGAATAGTCCAATAACAGCAAAAAATATAAGGTTGCATCGTGAATTTCTAGCCACACCAATGACCAATACAACACAAAGTACAATCAGAATGGCCAAAAAACCAAGTGTAACCGGATATCGAATGACTTCAAATATTTCGGAAGGCTGTGAAAGTGATAAATAATTCATGATAATGATTGTTTTTTGTCGTTATCTAAGAAAAATAAATGAATCTTACTCCCAAAATTTGTTTTAATGAGTGGTGCTGTGGTGTTCTTATCAAGTATAGAATAGTTTCTAGAGAACTGACCGCGCGTGTTGTATTTTCTCTCACCAAAATAACGTTATCAAGGAGGATTTTCAACGCGGTTTGATTGAAAGTTGGGCGTTCAAATACATCTTCTAAGTCGTACATCAAAACCTTACTGCGAATATCGTGCTTCAATTTTTCAGTCTACAAAATGGTTGGTAAAATTACAATATCAAATAGTAGCAACTTATTCGAACCACACATGGTAAAAACCTACCTTGTTTGTGAAGTTTGAGACTAATCCATCAATTTGGCGAGCCGAATGTAAGGTTTCCAACATACCATTATGAAAGTCGTCATTCCCGTAGAGGCCTACATATATTTTCATAATAAATAGTTTATTTGTTTGCCTTTTAAGAATGCAAGCACCTATTCAAATTGTTATTCATATTTTTGACTAAATTTGTTCAAATCTTTTCCTTTTATTACTTTTATTTAATGATAGTAGTATTTATTGAACTAGTCATTTTATATTGACTTTCTGTTTTCTCACAAAAAAGATCTTCTCTCTTTTTTATTGAAAAAAAAAACCCTTCAAATAATGAAATTTCGAATGCCAGAGCATGTGTGAGTATGTTTCGGATAAATTTGTGCATACTATTTCTCATATAATGTTCTTCGAAGTCAGTAAATATTCGAGATTCGAGCAAATATATTTGCAGTCATGACATATCATAAAAATACATGATTTAAGACCAAAAAGTCTCGATAGATTTATAAAGCTGGTAATTTCGAAGCATTATAATAATGAAAATGTTCAAAGTTATCAATAAAATGAAGAATTTTCAAACAATGATTTGTGAAAACTTTGATATTGTGTAAATAGATTTGATGAATAGGTGACAAATAGATATGTGTTCCTTTCATACCATTGGACTAATGGCATTATCATTATTCCACGAAAAGATGCGGAAAGGAACTTTCTGATCCAGTTCAACACATTTCAATATGTTTTATGCACCATAATTGATTCTGATTTATTATTATTATGTATATACATATATATGTATATTTGTACTGTAAACCACAAACCTCGCTTCAATAAATATCTCCGTCAAAAACTCGACTTAAATAGTCTAACTACAGACATATTTACAATGCAATGAATTAAAAATAGTGGTGTTTACTCGGACCGTATGAATAAAACCAAGAAAAGGTTGGAAAATGAATGAGCCAGCGCCGTAGCCAGGCCGGCGCAATGGGTGCATTGCACCCTCCAAAAATTTCAAAGGTGCAACAAGTTCGGGCGCAAAATCGGGTTTCAAAGGTGCAACAAAAGAAAAATTTCGATTTTGCACCCTCCAATTTTTTTTTCTGGCTACGGCGCTGGAATGAGCTGTTATCCCCATTGCCAAGGTTGCAATCACTGAAGGATATATTTTCATTGCTAGTGTCAAAAAGACAAACGTGACGAAAACGATAGCAATTTTGATTTTTGTAAAATGTCAAAAAAACAAGAAAATACATTCGAATCTAAAGGACTTTTACAAAATGCAAGAAATGAATTCTTGTTTTTGTTTCGAAGTGGGAAAACTCAATTTAAATGTCTGCGTCGGAATGCTTTACGAATGGAAAGAACATTGAATAATAATGATGCAAATAAATATCTGGAAATTTCAATCAGACATTTCATACACGTTGACTTGATAAAGCTATATAAATATAAAGCTGACAATAAAAATTTCTGGTAACATATAAGATATATGAACATACTGCATGTACTGTATATGGTACTGCATGTACTGTATATTTTCAATGAACGAATTGGCCATTTGCATGTTTTAACAATATTAATTACCTAAACCAATTGCAGCACAGCAAAATAAAGTTGTAGATATTAAAGTGAACTTTTGACATGCTTGAGACTGTAGTTTACTGTTGGTCGTTTGGTCGCAACATCGTGTTAATAAATATAATAAGAGTCCAACCAATGACAATATTAGAATTGCGGCCGGAATTGATGCCAATATGCCTAAACTCTGAAAATAATGTAAACAAAATGAACATATTTGTATGAATTGATGTGACATATCCAAAACATCTTGCAATCAATCTTCAGTTTACGTATATTTTCTAATAAAATTTAGTTTAGAACAAAACATTTTCATTCGAGTACTTAGATTAGATATAAAAATGGTATCTGTGTTCGAATAAGTTCATTGGAAAATTTGAACAGAAATATTCCGATCGCCAGAAAAGTTAATTGGTTTTGTTGATATAAAAACACAAACTATTCTATACTTACTTCTTTATAAATAACACTTCTAGGGTCAAACGTACTGTTCACGCGATTCAATGTAACATTTATGTGGGGAACTGAATGAACCAAACGAACCAAAATACTTGGCTGGCTATTTACGTCCATCTTTACTTTGATTTATTTCTGCCTTCCTTAAATGGTAACTTTTATAAACTGTGCAATCTTTAACCTGGATTTTCTTCTGATCAGTTCAGTAAACTGTAATATGTTTTTCACTCGATAACAATATGAAAACACATCTGAATTATATAATGCTTTTCATTGTCCCAGGAATAATAACATTTCCGACAAATAGGGTATTTACCCCAGTTCCGGAATTACCAATGAAAATTATTGTTATTTATTCTGATTTAACACACATATTTCACTTTGAATTTTTGAAGCCAGATTTGTGATTTTTCAATACAGCTTCCGATAAATACAAAACTTTATAATACGAATTGCATGTTATTTTATTTCAGCTTCAAAACAGTTGTGTATTAGAAAAAAAAACATAGATACATGTTTTACCCTGGCGTGTATTGGCAGAACTGTGTATTGGCAGAGCAGAACAACAAACACACCCCAAAGCCTTTGACGTATCATATATCTCCGTCCTAAGTTGAATATTTAATACGAAAAAGTAAACAATTCAAATGAAGTGAATAAGTTTGTTTATCCTTTACTTATTCTTATAACAAGATAATAGTTAAATTTTCGACTAAAATTAGAGCTTCCGAACTAGATACTGTCAACTGAGAAATAGGTAGTAGGTACACTGTACAATCTTGTATTGTTCGCCTATAGATGTCGTACTACAGTCTGTTTTCACGAAAATTTTATATTCACCACAAACGTAATAAGCAGATATAATTCAAAGGAAGGAAAAAGAAAGTATAATTTACCCATGAACCTGGTAGTGAAATCACTAGAAATATTTAAAGGCTTTAGCTGTGGGACAGATATTGAACCATCTATTGTTTTTCGATGTATCCAATTATGTTCGAAGAACAAGTCATAAGGAATACCTATCGAAATAGTAACTTGTTTTCATGCCGACAGTAATGAATACATAGAACAACTTGAAATTCAAAGTTTTTATTAAACGCTAAAGTAACATATTCATCATTCAAACCAACATTCCGCAGGTTCATCAGCAGTAAAGCAAGTTATCCCATGTAGTATCATAGCTTGAAGAATGTCACTAACATAGGTTGCCACATCAGTATAACTGCGTTCACCACGTTGAATGAATGGATGTTGTAGAAGTTTGGAATATTTCGGACGGTTGCTCTCTTCTTTAATTAAACTGTAAATAAAAGTCTAATGAACATTCAACTGAAATCATCATGAACATCATAATCTTATAACGTTTGGATCGTTGTTTTTTTTCTTCTTCAAAACATTGAACTACAAACATTACAGAATAGTTACCATGTATTGACGAAGTCCACAAATTCTTCAGAGAATTCTATATTATTATAAGATGTTGTTAAACGTGGGGCGTCACCTTGAACAACCTGATATAATTGCTCAAATACACTTCCCCATTTTGGGTATGGAAATCGTCCGGTTGCAATTTCAATCAAAGTAATACCAAGTGACCAGACATCACTGCGAACATCATAACCTTTAGCTCGCTGGGGATCAATTCTTTCAGGCTGTGACGAATAAAATTGAAGTTAAAAAAGGAAGACAGTTATCCAGTGTTCAATTTCTTTTCTCTTAAAAGGACTATGATGAAACTATTAAAAACCAACCGCCATATAAGGTCTGCAACCAGCGTCTTTGGTTCGTGCAATTGAATCGACCAACTGCCCAGAAATACCAAAATCGCACAATTTAATATCTCCACGTCTGTGTAATAAAATATTACTCGGTTTCACATCTCTATGGATGATATTCAGTTTTTGTTTTAGATAATTCAAGGCTTTTACGGTTGCCAAAGTTATCTTAGCCAAGATTGATTCGGGTATACGTTCACATTGTCTTTCACATATAAATTTATAAAATTTATCCAAAGATGTATCCATCAGCTCCATGCAAATCCAACAGTCACCCTGTGAATTTTGTTTCATGTTTGATTAGTTTTACGTTATTCACTAATATCAATTATGAATTATATTCAATCAAACCTCTTTGAATAGAGCTCCATAGAATTGAACAATGTAGTTGCAGTCATTTGATTTCATTACCACTTCCAAGTCCATTAACAATTGTTTTTGTTCTTTTTCATCGACTGTTGACCTTATTCGCTTCACTGAAAAATTGCACAAATGCCATTGGAAATATTTCAACAATTTTAAAATGCTATTTGCAATATTTTACCAGCCATTGTGGTGTTTGTACGACGAAATATCATTTTGTTAACTGCTCCATACGCTCCACGCCCAATCTCACCTAATAATATAGAACGTGATTCATTAATTGAACCCATTACTCAATTCACTTGAAAGATTCTCACCTAAATCTTGCAGATCATCTGAAGTAAAATCGTAAGTTGTGCCTGGAGCAGTTTGAATTTTACCGCTTGCTTGTAAACGAATTCGTTCTCTACATTGTGAAACATAATAAAAATACAATAATAAAAAATAGTGGTACAATATTTTGGGACTCAAAACAATTGTTATCGTAATATTCAGTAGAGCAAATTGACAAGTAAAAACAACTAACTCCAAGTGAAACCAGCTCAGTTGGAAGCATAGTTAAAAACCAATATCGAATGGCATTTATAATATTTGATAATGCTATTTTAAATAGTATAACATTGTTTTGCTCACCTTGTTCGGTCTGGTGCACTTTGTGGTTTTATTATTGGTGGGGTTTTCACTGTGTCAGCTTGAAAACTTAATTTTAATAGTCTTCTACGTTCGTCAGCCATATTTATTGTACGATCTTCTTGTTTTGATAGTAGACAAATTGTTTCACACTTGAAAAATTACCATAAATTCAATTGTGAAAACTTGTAATCATTAAAAAGTCTAATGGGATTTAATAGAGAAAATAAAAAATAATTAATACATTCACTTCCACAACACACTTGAAAAAATGACAGGTTCCAAACTATTTTTATATTGCCTAGCCTGTGCACCCACCACTACTGTCACTATTAGGTGTGGTGATTTTGAAACTCAACATTGAATATAATGATACAAATGTTTACCGTTCGAAATGTTTTTCCTATCTTCGTTTCCATAGCAAATAGTTTTGCTAGAAAACATTACTTTGAAATTAATCATTTGGTTTCAATATTATTGGAAAAACAAACACCAAAATGGTAAAATAAAGTAAAATTTTAAAATCCATCAATATATTTATGATTCACTTTATTATAGATACTATCACGCATCAGCCGTGATCATCTGGGAAATTTGAAGTCAGGCAATTTGAGACTTACTGTTCCTGATTTTGATGATTTGATTATGAAACGCGATTACACCGGGGCCCGCACATTATTAGAAGTAAGTCATAAGTGGAAATTAGTTTTTCGGACGATTTTCGTTCTTCATTTTTGCTTTGATCTACAAAATACAGTATACAAACTCTGGAAATGATGGGCTATCAAAACAATGGAGAACATTTTGTAATTTCCATCTGGGAAATTATAAAGAAGCATTGAATGATTATCGCGATTTGAAAACACAAAGTGAGGACAGTATTTTAATAATGAACGTTGCAATATGCATGTTTTACTTAGGTAAAAGTATAATTAAAAAAAACGGGGTTTAAATTCAAAGTATTGACCCCTAGTTTTCAACTAGTTGCTCTGAAGTTTGAACGTATACAGCATTTTACATTTTGTGTGTATTTCAGGAATGTATAACGACTCACTGGAAGTTGTAGATGCAATACCTAATAATCCTCTGAAGGTCAGACTTCTTTTTCATTTGGCACACAAACTAAATGATGAAGACCGTTTATTGGAATTACATGGATCATTACGTGACATTGTTGAAGATCAATTGAGTCTAGCGTCCATGCACTACCTACGTGCGCATTATCAAGATGCGATTGATGTATATAAAAAAATTCTTTTAGATAAGAAGTAAGTAAATTTTAAAACATGGCCATTTTTAAAATATGAAACTCAATGAAAATCGTTCGCTCCATTCACGTTTTGTTTTACTCACAGAGAACTTATTGCTCTTAACATTTATCTGGGGCTCTGCTACTACAAACTGGATTATTATGACATTTCACAAGAAGCCCTTGACACATATTTGCTTAAATATCCTGACAGCATCATTGCAATAAACTTAAAGTCATGCAATCGATTTCGGCTAGCAAATGGTAGGGCTGCTGAGAACGAGCTTAAGAATCTAATTCGAACAGAGGGAATCTTTGGTGCTGATTTGATAAAGCATAACTTGGTTGTGTTCAGAAATGGAGAGGGTGCCCTTCAGATTTTACCTAAGCTCATTGATGTGATACCCGAAGCCCGTTTAAATCTTACCATTTATTATTTGAGATCAGTTGAAATTGCCAAGGCTCAAGAGCTAATGGGTTTGATATTGAAACCAACGGTTCCATCAGAATACATATTAAAAGGTGTTGTGCATACTTTATTGGCTCAAAAATTGGATTCGGTGAGTTTTAAAATCTATTTACATAAATAAGGAGACAGAATCCCATTTTTATGAAGCGCATTTCAATGTTCCCATAGCGAGAACATCTAAAAAACGCGCAACAGTACTTTCAACTTGTGGGAGGAAGTGCGACTGAATGTGACACCATTCCAGGTCGACAATGTATGGCATCCGCTTTTTTCCTCTATGGGCAATTTGAAGAGGTGCTCGTATATTTAAACTCAATACGTAGCTTTTTTGTCAATGATGATGTTTTCAACTACAACTATGCGCAGGTAAATGCGGCATTTTGTTTTCACAAATTCCAAAGTTCATCTTCAAAAACGAATAAATTTCAAATGACACAAAATACTGTAAAGTAGACACCAAAAACTTCAATTCATTATATATTTGCAGGCTAAGGCTGCGACTGGGAATTATAAAGAAGCTATGGAGTTATTATTGGGAATATCTGAGCCATACATAATACAACAGCCTAGCTTCAACATGATACTGTCAAAGTGCCATATTCTCTGTGGACATTCTGAAGAGGTTGAAAATTATTTCATAGGGCAATATTTATTCGAAGAAATAGCTAAATTCTCTACAAATATTTATATTGAGTATAATCATCAACAAACTTAGTGGTTTTTAACACTATGACGGTTCATCATACTTTATACCTATTTCTGTTTTTTGGGGGACTACAATGCCCCATATGTACTTCATATGAAATCTGGACTGTTATAAGAGATAACAAATTAGTGTCTGGGGCAAAGTTGTAATACTCGAAGTTTGCTATAATTTTGCTGCAACAAATATTGCTTATCTCTTTTCAATCCCGCGAAAAAAACGCCAAAAACCGCGAAAATCGCGAAATTTTCCCACCTCATTTTTAGTTAAGCTGATAAGAAGTAAGAGACTTGACTTTTCACGATTTCGCGGCTTTTCGCGTAACGGATAAGAGATAACGACTTGATGTCTATGGCGAATTCGCTTAAGTTGTAGTACATAAACTAGTCTACAACACTGCCACAGACACCAAGTCGATGATTCCAGGGCAAAATTCCCAAAAAAAAATTCCC